CGCTACGGAATGAAAAATGAAGGTTAAAAATTTTGGGCGGTAACATTTTGAAGCGTTATAGTCTTGAAATAGCTGTTATTTTAGCATCCATATTTCGCACCATTAAGAATGAAAAGCGCAAGTATTGGACAGAATACAATACAAGAGGATATGTCGAGTTGATGTACTTTACACTAAAACAATTACCCGAAATCACAGGCATCTAAAATGCCCCTTTTCCTCTCCAATAAAAAATGGCAAATTATAAATTGTTTCAGTACGAAAGTATCATAGTTTCACAAAACTTCACCACTCTGGCTATCCGCGATGAGCGAGCAAGTTTCTATCGTAAACTTTGGGTCTTAAGGGGTAGGAATTATTTTCAAAGAAGTGAAAGAGAAGTGAGAGAAGAGGTAGCTTCTCGCACCGGGCAAAAGCGCTTAAAAAGTTTTCTACAAGCAAAGTCTACTGATACAGGAGGGGTAGGAATATGGTAGAAGTGGGGTGGGGGTGGAATGGATAGTAATAAGGTCGTGTGGGAGTTCTGCGGGGGTGGGGGGAGACGACGAAGCGCGCGGTTAAGTTTAAGAAGTAAGGAGGGAAGGGGGATGTAGTGAAGAGAGGGGGTGAAGGAGAGGTGGAAACTTTGGGGTAAAACTGAAAAGTTAATTTCGTCCTGTTAAATTACTCGAGCGGCCCGGGCATTAAACTTGCAAAAGTTTCGCCCTGGGATGACTGAAATATATGTTGTAGTCTTCGGAAATTGAGAAGAGGGAGAGGAGGTTATGGGCATCGAAAAAGTTGAATTCAAAAAGATATTTCGACGAATTATAAATTCAGAAAAACTTTTCCCATTGTCTGCGTGGATTCAATTTTCGAATGAAGATGATTTTTTTTTCGGTCAGAAAGGGGGGGGGGCGAATCTCTGAACAGATGAAAAGAATATCAATATATAGTCAATGGCTAATAATGTAGAAAATTTTTTAGGTAACAAAAATTTGCATTTTAAAAATTTTTTTCTCTCCTTCAATTTGAAAGTCTTCGTCAAATTGAAATTAGCGTGAGTTTTTAAATGAGTCACAACAATGACTTATCGATCTTTTATCAATTACCTGCTTCTTATCTCCGAGAATATTCCGATAGAGGCCGTCTGGCGAAAAAAAGATGTGATTCGGTACGGTGGGGATAACTCGACTGATATAGTATATTTCAGGGCGAGTGGCATGGGGTTTTTCACTCGCGTGGAGTTGGCGTCCAAACCGAAGGCGAGAACTGGCCAACCATGCGGCTAAAAAAAACCCATGGCACTAGTCGTGAACCATATTTTTCCGTAGTGATTTTCACTTTTACGAGTTTGGGGAAGGGCCAATACCAATCCCCGGACGAGGAAAAGTGAAGATCAGTACGGAAAAATGTTTTGGCTTTCGAGCGCTGGCGACTCGAGTCGTACATTTACGGCAGTGACGATGCTTAGAAATCGGCAAACATTGTGGCATTACATTCTCAACAAAGATTCTTCAACTTTTTGTTCCATGAACCACAAAATAAAAATTGCCCGAATTTTCATAAGACCTTCTAACGAGGGGCTAATAACTCTAAGATCGAGTGACATCATGACTGCATTGAATTCACGATTTCATTGATTTCAAGCATGATTTCCAGTGATTTCATGACTCATCATGATTTTATTGACTCTATTCGACTGAAATCAATGATTCCTACGTAATTGAAATCACTGAAAACTCAATAACCCGAAATTGAAAGAATAATCGAGATCAAATAATTATTTATCAAAACGATTGATTTTATTATCATCAAACATTTAACGAACGCTTACAAATTATTATTATTTCTAATAAACGAATGAACAATACTAGAAGTACTTTTTACTTCTCTAAAAATTTTTTGATCAACTTTCAAGTGCCCTTCATCATCAAACGTTGAAGGTGAAATTGTTTTACGATATTGTTTAATATCAACATAGCCCTGAGACGTCATTGGCTGCTACAGTAACGTATCTCAATTTGTCTTTAAAATGTACCAATAACACAAAACACCTATATCTCTTTTGTTACTATCAATACGCGCGTATGAACCAGAAAATTCTTGAACCAAAAATATTAGAACGAGTGTAGAGCGTAGTGTATTTTCGGTCCAGGGATTCCCTCGTGATTTCATGGATTTCATTGAGTGCAAATGATTTCATTGTGACTTCAAGAAATGACTCCATGAATGGGAATCACGAGATTTCTATGATTTCACTGATGTCAGCGATTTCAGTGATTTCATGGGTGACTCCAAATTGATTTCACCAGCAAGTGACACCATGATTTCAGGAGTTACTAGCCCCTCGCATTCTAATCTCAATCACTATTTTCCAATTATTAAATATTTCTATTTTGTCAATGATAAGAATAGCTTGTGTTTTGTTACTCCTGTACAAATGAGAAAAATCAGAGAAATTAATAAAGGATGTAAATCCATTGGAATTCGTCGCACTTCTGACTAGAAACCTGGAAGCAGTTGACTAGGTTACGGGGAGTAAAACTTCTATAACGAGTCACATGAATCTGCTACATCTTTTCATGATCAATTTTTTTCAATGTATCTCTGAAATGATATCGATAGAGGCTTTTTGACGAAAGAATAATTAGGGATTCTGTGCAGTAGAGGTCATTCGATTCGTAAATCTCTCGGATTCGAACGCCACTTGCAGCCTGAGATGAAGTGGCGCTCGAGGTCCGAGCGCTACCGGCGCGAGCTGAGTTTCACGAAAGTAAACGAGAGTAAGGATGCTTGAAAGAAGACAAACATTGATATCACCAGTTGAACAAAATTTCTTCAATAACTTTTCTTTTTTTTTTTTTCATTCACCTCAAAAAAAAAATTACCCAAATTTCCAAGAGACAGTCCAACCTCGATAACTTTTTTTGTAATTAACAAATATTTTTATTTTGCCAATGATACAAATAACTTGAGTTATTAGTTCTTCCGCGGAGATGAGAAAAATCGAAGATAATTTAATAATTGATGTAGATCCATTGCAACTCGTAATACTCCGAACTAAAAAAGTGGGAGCAGTTGGGTAGAGTGGGGGCGTTGGGAGCGCGCGTCTCGAATTTTCTCTGTCTCCCTTGCACTCGGCTTCTCCCCTCCTTGTCTAGGAAAACTTTCCAGTGATGAGCTTTGTTGGTCGTTTCCGAGCGCAGGACGGAAAAGTTAAATGCGAAAGTTTTAGCCGATATCCTCCCTTGAGTATGTGTGTATATGTGTGTCTAAAGCTTTACTCCAACTCTACCATTCCTTCCTCCCAGTACCCTCACAACTTTTTTCCTGTACTCTTGTTACAGGATAAAAAATAGTCACACTTGTTTATCTGTTTTTATCAACTGCATAAAATGATTTATTCCATCGCATGAATTTTTATATCTATTTTATGAAGTCGAGGGGTGGTTCCTGAAATGAAATGAAGAGCTCGAAAATAAGCACGTTTGAGGGTTTTTTTGCGAACATTTGTTGTACTTACGGAAAATTATTTGTTAGAATTTATTCAAGAAAAAATTATTTTCTATTAAAGTTTGTTTATTCAATTGTGAATATCTTCTTGAATGTCATAGATAGAGCAAAATATTGCTCATGACAAATTTTCGAATTTTTAAGATCTTCATTTTTTCGGGATAATATTGATTTGTATTTCTTATATTTACTGAGGTTTTTCGATTGTAACGAATAGGGATATTTTATAAATTTTGCTTCCGAATGGAAGCTTTGTAATCGTTGATGTTGACGATCTTCTAAATTTGCCTAGAAATGACGTAGAATGTCATGAAACGTGCAGATATGATGTTTTTAGAAAATGTGTGGATGTATGTCCGGTTGTGTATGCGGATTTTTCTGAGCATTTTTATAAATCTTCACAGAAAAAGGACTAAAGTTGAAGCTAAAAATCTGAAATTTCATCACATAGTTGGTATTATTGTGGAGCACTTCTGAGCGCTATTTCAGCTCACTCGGTCAAGTAGTTTCCGAGATACAGCAATTTCTCAAAAATCTTCTTTCCTCAATATCTCAAAAACTAATTGACTGAATTGAATTTTTTGACGTAAAAATATTCCCTGTGATAATTTAGAAGATATTCAACTTTTTATGAAAAACTGGTTTGTTCAATCTTCCAAACTGCTGATTGGATTAATTTTTTTTTTCAAAATACTCATCTTGCCGCCCCCTATCAAGATCAATAAAAATATGAATACTCGTTCATACAAAGTTTTCGAGATATTCATGTTTTTCTATTTTTTTCAAGTGAGAGCTAATGTAGCGTTCCATAATATGCGTAAAAGTTGGAATAAACATCTGAAATTTTGGCTACTAACTAGTATTATTAAGTCATACTTGCATATAAAATTTTGTGTCGATCGATTCAGTACATTCTGGTATAGAGCAATTCATCCAAACATTTTTTTTTTCTAAAAAGTCACACATCGTCATTTTATCGACTATTTTCGCCACTGAGGGCTTATTCTCGACTTGTTTTCTTAAATAAGAAACTTATTACACAAGAAAATTCCGTCGTTTCGTTCATATGATAAAAGTTATCATGGAATTCCGCAAGCACGGAATTTTATGACGTCAGAACTGTCTAAACTTCGTAGTTGACTCACTATGAGGCGCTGCTTCCGCTCTAGCATCGACAATAGAGTGAGGTTACTCATCGGTTGATATTCTTAAAAAAAATATTCTGATTGTGACGTAATTTAACGTCATCTGCGAGTTTTGAAATTATAATATTTTTTATTATCACAAAAAAATGAAAAAATGTAATTTCCATTGCCGACGTGATTGTACATAAATTATCGAATAATAAAAATTGAAAAATTGACCAAATGCTTATTGGAAAAACGGAATTCAAAATTTTCTTTCAATTCGCTAAAAAATGTTATTAAAGAACATGAAAATTATGACGAGCTGATGACAAGAATAGATGTTACCTCCAATTAAAAATTATAATATTTTTATGCCAGAATGGCGTCGAAGAAAACGAAGCAGAATCACTCGATACAGCATCTACTGGATCTGCCGTCGAGGGAGGAGGAGAGAAGGATCATAGACCAGCATCAACAGACACGATCTACCCCACGTCAAGTTCCAGTGACTGTTCTCCATCCGACACCGAAAAAGGTAAGTGAAAAATTCATCAGATTCCTAAATTTATTTCTCTGCAACGAACAAACTCGACTGAAATGAGAAGAATATGACAATAAAGGGTGAACAAGGAACAGCATCTCCACTTAATCAATTTCAAATGACTCTTCAATCAACGAAAAGTGAAAGAAATCGCTATTCAATTCTCATAAACATTCTCCACTTTTATTTCTGTCCTTAATCTCAAGTGAGTCATAAAACTTGTTATAAAAATATCTGAAGAGAAAAAAGTCTGGAAAAAAAAAAGTTTTGATCGCCTTCACAGGTTTGAGGAGAGGTTGGTTAGAGCATAAAAAATGAAAATGGCTGTAACCCTCCCACAACGTAAACCGCTGACGATCCACTTTGTCGCATAGCACGTGAAATGTTAGATTTTGTCGTATTTTTTCAGGCTTTTTTATCGATCCTATGGGAATACCAACTACATAGTTATTGGTCATAAGAAGCGCATTGGTATGTGCTGCTGAGAAAAATCGTTTCGATGGTTTGATTTTTCTATTCTGATATTTTATTCCGTGTCTTCAAATTTCGTCATAAATTCAAAATACAAAATTAAAGACCTGTTTTTGCATTATTATTCTTTGCTTTGTAATGCGGCGAGATTGAAGATTGTCATCGAAAACTTGTGAAAAAAGTATTTTAAGAAACGATCCGTTTTGCCCCAGATTGTTTCAAAATACTTGTATTTCACTCTAAATACTTCTGATTTCGTGAAGTTGATTTTCAGAATTTCTCGCCTTTTTTCTGAAAACGAAGAAAAGTATTTTTTAATTCAGATAATTCAATCAATTTCTCCTCGATAAATTTACCCATCCCGTCACAAATCTCACCTGCAATACGTAAAAATTGAAGAATTGATTGAAATTTGCATAATCACTTTCCAATGATTTTTCAATCTCCATGGGTTGTATTCAATAGATAATCTTTTTTTTTATCTCAAGAAAGTTGAGTATTTTCCGGTGAGTCAATGGGGGCTTGGTGTGACTAGTGGCTCGAGCGCCCCCGAATGAGTAACGATTTTTAAAGTTTTCTCAACAAGTTTCGACTATAACCGTTGAGAAAGAGTGAGACGGTGAGCGATCGGCGGGGAAGTTGGGTAAAGTTTGCGAATGCGCGTGTTTCAATGTTCTATAGCATTCGGCTGGGGGAGGGGGAGTGAGTTTTATAAGCATTACTACCCCTGATAACCCTTCACAAGCTTCAAACTATTTCCATCAGATTGCCTGGTATTTTAGCATTTACCATCCGTCGGTAATTCGGAGAATTCATTTACTACTCACAGGTAATTCATCTGGTTGGTGACAACGATGTCTACTTTACCTACAATAGGTAATTTTATATCCGATTGCGGTAAGTAGGACTTACCATCTGATTAAAAACTTGAATTTTCGAATTATCCTTTGAAGGTAATTGTTGATGACATTGGATAATTTAGGGTAAGTTTCAGTAGTAAACTCGCTAGATAATCAGATGATGTTCTACGTTTTCTAACTCTCCATGGGTACACTGGGGTGATGTACTCATCACTTGTCATTATCGTGATTTTGAAAGAGGTTGAAGTGGGTAAAATACTATTTGAAATAAGGTTTGAAATATTCATGACTAGTTAATATTTCGAATGGAAGAAAATACTATTTGCACACGGAAAAAAAATACTTGAATTAAGTAAACAATATACTTAATCAAGAGTAATATATTTGATTCGAGTATAAAATATACTTGATTTAAGTATATTATTCTTGATTCGAGTATAAAATATTTCCTTATCTCCTGTAGTTTCGGAAATATTTTTGAAAAACTCACCGACTCAATTTTTTTGGTTGTCAATTTTCATCTCACAACCTTTCCCCTCCCTCTCTTTGCAAAATCCCTCCTCAAAAATTGCTCGATCGATGGCGCAAGATTATCGAAAACGATGGGCGATATTTCGAGGATTGATCTAGTATTTATATTTTTTATAATGTTACATATTTTTGGATAAAAAAACGGAAAGATTAAGTTATACAGCTAATAATTCACCTTTTCTCTCTGTGTCTGACCCTCATATTCTGACTCTCATTTTTTAAACTCCACTTTTTGTCCCTTATTCTCTGACACTTAGTGCTTAACTCTTATATTACACTTAGGCTTGCTATAACCCGGCCTGATGCCGAACAATCATCTCCGAATTGAAATACCCATCCATTAATTGAATATAAAATATACTGGAATCAAGAATAATATACTTGAATCAAGTATATAATATACTTGTATCCTTGTGTATATAATATACTTGATTCAAATATAGAATATACTTGATTCAAGTATGTTATACTCAATTCAAGTATTTTTTTTGTGTATAGTTTGAAATGAAATGAAGAACTCAATCAGAGGGATATTGCAACAATTTTTTACCCCATCATTAGCTAACGAGGACTTTCAAATCTGTAGTTCATTGCCGAACTAGATAACTGCATTTCTTTCGAAAACTAGGCGGGACGCGCGATTCGCGCGCGCTAGCCAGGTTGCATGAGATCCATATATATTGTCATTTGGTAAATTTTAATTCTGTTGCTTTTTACGTTCTATAATGACACATATCTTTTGAAATGGTATATGAATAGTTTCATTCAGTTGGCCAATGATATTATAGAAAAATTCCAATCAATTTGCAAAAAACATCATGAAATTCAATTGTTGGATAAAAACTCGCGTATGCTGGTGAAAATTAGCCTTAATCAAATAATTCGGGGGTCAATTTCAAGGTAATTTGGTATATTTTCACCTGAGCACAAGATATATCCACAGATTTAAACAGAAAGCGAGCAAATCTCCTCATTATGAGGAAAAATATGGGAATTTTCAAAACGTGACATGCTAAGATCACTACATTATCGCTTAGGACAATTGATCTACTAGGCGGAATAGATGATGTAAGGTATCAATTTGATGATCTCACTGAGACCTTCAAATTGACATATGATATATGTCTGGGATATATCCCTGCTGGTCAAATCTAAAGGCTCAATAAATGGGAAAAATTGCCATTTCTGAGGTCACGAAACAATGTACAATAACTGGATAAAAATTGAATTAAATCGGATAAATCAGATATCATACACTATTTTGAAGAATGGCCAATACTCTTCAAAGCGATATATAAATATCCCTGCTTGGATCCAACCAAAGTCAATTTTTCCAGTGAAACATGGAAATTAAATTTTCACCTAAAACTCTCGTAAGTCAATGAAAATCGGTCAGAAGTGGATAAATCAGGTGTCATTTTGAAGCATATTTAATAAGCTTTTGAATGAGTATATTAAGTGTATGATTTATGGAAAAAAAGGAAGACTTGAGCATAGAAGCGAGAGGAAAAACGTTGATTACGGGCACTAATTTTTCTATATGGGATGCGCCTTTTTTAATACATCGCTCCCTAACAATTTGGAGAAGCAATTTGGAAAAAAAAATAGTCTTCGAAAAAAAGGCACTTATCCTCGTTTACGAATTCACAACAAAAATTTGCTGCCTCTTCTTAAAATCGCTGTAAATCAAAAAATGGCTTGAAGGAGTGGGAGGCATTCTGAAAAAAAATAAAGTTGTTCATCACAAAAATTGGGTACACTCGACCGTTTCGATTATAACATTTCAGTTTTTTACATGGCTAACGGATAATAAACGATGGTTTTTTTCGCACTGATGACTAATTTTTGGATACATACAGAGAAAAATTCAAGAAAAATTACCAAAAAACAAACTAAAAATTATGTTTCGAAACGTAATCCGCGAGGGAAGTAAAATTCAGTAAAAAGTGTGAGTCGGAACTGAAATTGTACGAATCGCCACGTAAATTGTACGATTTGTTCCGTAAAAATTAACCACCCGTCTGATGACTCACCGTTGTGAGGACAGCAAGCCGTCCCGTAATTTTTCCCCAACGACTGAGAAATTTTACGGAACGGAACGTACAAATAATTCACCAGTTTCATAAAAATTGTTGAATGTTCAAGAATTTTTAATTTTGGAGGCTTCATAAGTTAGGAAGTTTCTGTAAGATTTTACTTCTTCGGGAAAAAATTACGTGACAATTTCGTACTTTGTTCGGTGATGAACCTGAAAAGTCACTGAACCTTTCAGATTTCTTTGGTTCCATTCCTATAAAAATTGCCAGAAAACGAGTTCCCATTGCGGATTACGTGAATTGTTTCGTAATTCTTACTGCATATTTCTCTCCGCGTATATGGCATATAGGGGAAACATGGAAATCATTATTTCAATAACCCGGGATGTTCTAAACTCGCCGGAGTCTCTCTTTAATGAACAAATGGATCGGATTTTCAAAAAGTTAATTTGAAACTCATTTGATAAGAAGATGCATCAAATGGTCTAATGGAAGTGGAGTGTAGTGAAAGTGTATTCTGTGTCTCGTCCTTCTTTTCACCAAATGGGAGAAATGGTGGTGACACAGACATTCTGGTCGGAGGCCAGACGACCGTAAGTATTAAATAAATCTCCTTAAGCGGATTTAGGGTCTGGCTTTCCGGTATTTTAACGCCGCATTTTCCACTACCTAACGCCCAGGATTACCCCTAGGTCAAAACAGATTTTTTTCACCCCTGTACTAAACCGAAATTCTCACAGTTTATTAAAAAATTCACCAAGTGACGGAAAATTCCGATTTTCAATTTTCATCTGAATTTTCAGATGAAAGGAAAAGAAAACTCTAAAAGATATTGCGACACATATACAACCTTAGAAATGTCGCATTTGAAACAGATAACACACTTTATTTCAAGTTCTTCTATTCCTTTCAATGATATTTCTGTGGACAATCAATAAACTCACAGAATTATTTCCATGAAAATTTTTCAATTATATGAAATAAATAGCTCGTTAATTCCAAACAAATCCTCTATTAGAATCAAATAAATGATCACTTCATATAGATAATATGATATTTATACATCGTCATGACAAATAGGGTTCACCACTCGTGGGAAAAGTGTGTGTGTGGTAAAGTTTTTCATCAATTGTTTGATATTGAATGGATGGAATTGAATTTTTTAAAATGTGGGCATTGTTGAGCCCTATCGATCGCTATGAATTAACATTGAATTCATTGATTAGTTTTTTAAATTTTTGAATTTTTTCGCTTTTAATCGACGGTGTAACGTGTTATTTTATTTCGACCGTTCAACTGTGAAATTTACCATCCAGACGAGAAGTCACCACTGCGAAGTGAGAGTCAAAAGGGTTTATTTGGGGTTCTGACTAATGCTTTGGTTTTTTATTTTTTTTGTTATTGTATCGAGCCACATATAGGGACTTGGGCAGCCTCGGACGTCAGGTCTCCAGGGAGCTGGGAAGGGGGAAACTCCAGAAAGTCTTTATGTGGTAAAAGAGCTGCTTTTGTATTTGGATCGAGTTCCCGCGTTGGAGGGATAGCTCGAGTACAGTTCACCGGCGGCGCCACTTGTCGGCGGTGACGGGACGAAGGCGGTTATCGGCCGAGATTTGCGACGCCATTTTTGGATCTCCTCGCCTAACCGGAAGTAATGGGTTAGGCAGTGCGAGAGAAATTATCGGACTGACGTTAGACGTCCGGTAATGATACGAAATAAAGGGAAAAGGAATTGGATATTTATTCCCTATTTTGGTGACGTTATCACACAGCTGAGTGTTTATTGGAGAATAAGTCTGGTTTGGTTGGGTTACAACCAATCAGAGCGGCTCATGGAACGGCCCTGGCCAATGGGGTTCGATTGGCGGGAAGTGTCCCGAACGCATGGGAGAAGCGTGGGTTTTAGCCTCACTTCTCGTTTGGGTGGCGAACGAGCTGTTGTTCTGTGGAGAACCTCTTGCTGGTGGAGCAATTCGTCTTGTTGTGGACACCAGTGTTTACGGGATTTGAAGTCTTTGGAGAATCTTTCGCCCTGGCTCCTGGACTAGACTCGTTGGAGATTGTAGTGAGCGGAAGAAGTGTTCCAGAAATGTTATTTTGTATCTGTGTTAAATCGGCAACGATTAGAATTCGCTCGTTCGCTTTTTGACGACGCTTATCGTCGGGCGAAGTTACGCCATTAGAGTCTTTTGATTTTCGGGGCGAGTTCTGATCGTCTGTTCGGCAGAGGTTAGCTCTTTTGTATAATTTAATTTGGACGTATGATTTTGATATTATATTGTGATTTGAGATGTTCGATTTTCTCGGGAATTCAGTGGTTTCTCTGAACGGATTTTGACTCTCGTTTCAACGGTTTGGTTGCCGATCGGATGAGGAATCGGTAGAACAAATCCTTTCAAATAATGTATTTAGTTTTGAACTAATTTTGAGAACTACATTGATATTCGAAATTTTCGGTAATTACTTTTGTTTTCGATATTTGAAGTTGTCGTATCATTTCGTCATCGCATCGGCAGTTGAAATTGTAGCGTCTTGTCAACGCTCGAGTGA